CAGAGCGGGTGTGGCAGTGGAGAGTGGGTGTTGGTGTCAGACTACCTGGGCTCAGACTGGCCCTGCAACTCACTGTGTGACCTTGGGCAAGTCACTTAAGTTTTCTGCCCCTTCCTCATCTGTAAAATAGAAATAGATTGTTCTGAGGATTAAATGAGATGGCAAATGCAAAGGGTTAAGCACACAGAACCTGACATGTGAAAGACTGCCACGGAGCCTCACTGTTGCTATTTTTAGTGATGAAGTAACTTGCCAGCTAACTGTAGGGCAGAATTGGGACTGGAATCTTAGGGGATGACTAGAAAGCCACTGCACTTTCCTGTACACCAGCACGTCTTGGTTTCCTCACTTTAAAAATGGGGACATAAAAACCTACTCTCACTGAGTCATTGTAAAGATGAAATGCACTGAAATGTGCAAAGGCCAAGCATAGTACCAAACGTAGGCCTAGTGCACAGGAAATGTTCGTTTTGTAGTTTACATCCCTTATTAGGTTCATCTAGTAGACTTGCCAGTCCTTCAGTCTGCTGAGATCTTTTCAAAACTAGACCCTGTCATCCACAGTATTTGCTGTCCTCCCAGCTCCAGGGCAGCGGGACACTCATATAATTATCCAGGCACTTGACCAGTCCAGATCGTCAGTCTGGGACCTGTGGNCTGAGTCATTGTAAAGATGAAATGCACTGAAATGTGCAAAGGCCAAGCATAGTACCAAACGCAGGCCTAGCGCACAGGAAATGTTCGTTTTGTAGTTTACATCCCTTATTAGGTTCATCTAGTAGACTTGCCAGTCCTTCAGTCTGCTGAGATCTTTGCAAAACTAGACCCTGTCATCCACAGTATTTGCTGTCCTCTCAGCTCCAGGTCAGAAGGACACTCATATAATTATCCAGGCACTTGACCAGTCCAGATCGTCAGTCTGGGACCTGTGGGTCTGAATAATTCATCTCTGCCCGATTTTCCTGGACACTTGTGAAACACTTTATGCAGCTATGGAGAATGTCTGGACTGAAATGGCAGGAGAGCAGGTTGTCCCCAGGGGAGAGGAGCTGGAGGAAATGTAAAGGTGGATTTGAAAGAGGGAAGCCCCGCTCAGCAGCTGGTGGCATGAGAGCTCCCTTCTGAACTGTGTAACTGAGAGCAGCACCAGCAGGCCCAGTGGGAGGGGAGTGGGGCTCCCTTGGTCCCCACCTTTGCTGCCTAAGCCCAGCCTAGAACATCTGCACTCTGGGTTGTACCTATCTCTTTGACCAGCCTATATTTCTACATGAAGCTTTTGCCAATTCCTTGTGCACTATCAGTTATTCCAGGCTTGTAAAAGATCTTTAACAATGGAGAAACACTTAAAGCCTTAATAATGGTCCACATCAATTGTTTCCCTTGTCAGCAGGATTTGAGAATGGAACTGCACGAGAGATCAATGCAAACCTCCCAGGGCCTTCCACTGAGCCTTTCCTGCAACTGCGACCTTGACGTTTATGTAGTTATTTAATATTCATCCATTCATACAGTTGGTCCTTTACAGTAAATAGAAGCATGCTGGACAAATGGCAGCTATAGATCAGGAAGTAAAAAATGTCAAGTTTGCACTGATGGGTAATTTTTCCCTCTGGAAAGCTTTTGCTATGCTGAAGATACTAACAGTTCAATATATTATCACGAGCAATATTTTCTCCTTTGAATTCAGTGTATATGCCCTAAATAAATTAAACTACATGGTCAATAGTTTCTGTCATTCATTGCATTACTCAATATTTCTTCTGCTCTTTGCCAGAGAAGTACCATACAAATCAAGATTATTAATACTAATAGAATCATTGAATTTTTAGAACTGGAAAGATCCTCAGAGATCACCATCATCCAATCCTCTTGTAATTCAAAGGAGAAGCTGAGAATTAGAGAGGTGGTATGACTTGAGTTGGGTCTTGTAACTGGCTGGTGGGGTGGTTAGGATGAGAACTGAGGTCCCTTGATCCCACCTCAGGTTCACTGGGCCATTTTTACCTCTTCTTTTCCTATTACTATAAGAAGATTCTGTCTATATATTAGACAGTATTGGTGTCTGAGCTCTGGCCTCACGTAAAGAGTTTGGCCCCTGAGCATGGCCATCTTGGAACCATGTCCATAGATCCTCAGTTGGCCAGGACTGCCCCAGTTTCAGGTCTGTCTGGGTTCCTGACTTGTTACAATACAGATACAATCTATAGGAAAGTCTCATAGTTGTTCAAAATGTGGTCCCCATAGCCACCAGACCCTTCAGCCTCTTCTTTAAAAAGTGAAAAAACTTTTTCAGAATTCATATTCACTCTTCTCTGAGGTGTAACACAAGGGAGACTCCTTCTCCCCAGTAATTAAAGTTAAGAACTAACTCAATGGTTCTTAACAAGAAAGTCATGGACCAGAATCAAATACAGTCTACACCTGAGCCCCAGCTCCAGATATTGTGATATAGAAGATCTGGGATGAGACCTGGGCATGTGTATTTTGGAAAAGCACCTCGGGTGATACTGATGTGTACCCTATGTGAGAATCACTGGACTAATGTGAGTTAAATAAAAATCCAATCTGAAACCAACATTTTTTTTTAAAGTAAATTTATAAATTTCTTTTTTTCTTTTTTTGCCTTAATTATCCTTTTTTTAAATTAATTAATTTCGAATACTCATGAGATACAAAGCTGATTGTCCCCCCTTCTGCCCATGATGTGGGAGCCAGATTCATATTGGGGGCATACCCATTACCAGAAATTGCTTTTGTACCCTTTATCGCCTTCCAATTATCCCCCAACACCCCTCCCCTTCTCCCCTCCAACTTCAATTTGTAGCCCTAGGAATGTCCCCTCCCTCTATTAGATCACGGGACTACCGTGGCCTTTCCTTCTTTCCTTCCTTTCTCTCTTAGCTCCCACATATGAGTGAGCACATGCGGTATTTATCCCTCTGTGCTTTGCTTGTGAAACCAACATACTGAATGAAGTTTTGTGCATTGGTGTTAGTGGAGTGTGAGTAAGACTCGCACT